CCACAATGAGTGTACAGTTTGTCTTAAGAGCCACATTTCACGTTTACCTAATAGCGAAAACCTTCTTCTTGTTTGAATATTTTGAGCAGCCTCTCGACAACGAGTGGAAACGACCCTGCGGCCGCCATTCGTCGAATGAGTGCGAGTGAAGTTACCCCACCCGCTTAAGGCTGGGTCATGCCAGCGCTCCTCAAAGTCTATATACAGATATGGACGGTGTTGGGTCCACTTGTGAGGCGTATACCTTCTCGTCTGTCTTCTTGGCACCACTTATTTGTGTCTCGTCTGTGCGGGGTCTCATTTATTCGAACGCTTCTCCAGTACTGGGACCCTTTCTGAGACCCAGCACTGAACGAGCGTTCAACGATCTTTCTATTTACTTCTTTGGAAGACTGAAGAAACCGAAAACAGAAACCCAAATCTGCGCTGGATCGACACGCCGCATGTGGATTTCAAAGTACTTGGCGCCCACCCCGTCAAGCATTCTCTCGGGAGAAAAAGCGTCACATTGCCGGGAGAGTAGAACTTGCCATACAATGGTACAAACGGTGGAGAAAAAAAAAGACTACGTTCATACTTTGCGTCAGCGTTTTGAGCGTTTGGGAGAAGCGTAGGTATCGATCTAGCGTGCGGCAGCGTTTGGAGCGTACGGCAATGGTTTGAATGGCTGGGAGTATAGATATTGACCTAGCGTGTTTAGCTTATCCGGCGTTTTGAGCTTCTCTAGGGCAGACGCTGAAGACGCTGCCATACGCTGGCGTACGATAGATCGATACCCATATTTCTTTTGTCGCTTAAAACGCTGCTATACTCTTGAACGCTCAAAATGGCGATAACGAAAATGATGATGATGTGACGCAGAGTATGAACGCGTAAGTTTTGTCATCAAAACTACTAACTAATTGTTCTTTTGTTACGGAATGTGTCTTCAAAAAAATTTGTCGGGCTGCGTCATTGCAGTGGGCAGGCCGTCCTTGAAAGAATGCCACTATACTTCTATTTTTAGGGTGTTGAAAACGAACCGCCAGAATTCGCTGAAGGGTGTGCAAGTGGTGATGACAACGCGGCAGCGGATGGCGGTGATCTTGACAGGGTTTGTGGTATCCTATTTTTGAACAATAATAACAACAAGAATTTTTGAACTGCTCCCTTGTACCATCATTTTTCAGCATGTTCAGTTTCGTGCTGCCACTCCCACTGAAGGCGATATTCCAAGAGAAACTGTTCTTACTAATCTTACTAACAAACCCAATAATGAAGTTGCGGTGGGTGTTTCATCACCCCTCTATCCCTGGAGATGGGAGGGCGTGGCTGCGTACTTCATTAGGAAGATGGTGCGCGTCGCGCTTTCCGTGGAACCTCTTATTTGAGATAATTGTCATCCAGTTTTGAGCTGCACAGAGTCATTATTCCAAATGTCCTGAAATGAAAATGTACCATTATAAGCTCAGCCGCCACCACGTTCAACTATAATGCGCGGTCACGCCCTCCCTAGCTCTTTGTGGTATCGAGGGTAGACGACGTTGGCTTTCTTTTTGAATGATTTTTCTAAGATTACTGCAGCCTCAGTCTCTCAACACCATTCGAACAACTCCGCAGCGACTCCCAGCAAAGCAACTTGTCCAGCTATCAACCAATGAATCGCCAAATCCTGGTAGTGACTCCACAGTTGGTGTGGTACAGACAAGCACGCCAGTCTGTGAGTCAATTTATTAGAGTTTCCTTATGCTGTCTGAGAGTTTCTGTTCCAGCAATGGTGGCAAAGCTGGCTGCTCGTGCAAGACGACTTGAACTAGCTGAAAATTTTCATGGGGTGTCGATGATTCTACCGGAAGGAGATTCGCCTAGAGAAGGTATCGCGACCATCATTTCGTGGTTTTTATCGAGTTTTACATACTTTTGAGTGAAGTCAGTGGACTGTACTCACTGGGGAAATAGTTAGTTATTGGCGAGATATGCTGGAGCTTGCATCGCAATCAGGGCACGTCCTGTCGCTAAGGAAAACTGCGAAATGGCAAAATAGATCCCACGATATTCCTCATTTTCCGAACATCTCTTTCACTCAGCTGATTCAGGTATTGAAGTAGTGCCTGTATAGACTCTAGTTGTGCAGCTAACAACTACGAGCGGGGAAAGGGGGGGGGGGGTTCAAAGTAGAACACGTGAAAAGCGAAAAAGCGGAAAGTCGACAAAAAATTTTCTCGCGTACAAGAAGAATTCTTCAAGATTGAGGTCAGATACGACCACCTCTCGAAGCGAAGAGACAGTACGACCCCAATTCCCCAACATAACTCTCTACTGATATCTGCTGTGTTACCGTCAGGGTTGCTTTTGTAGTGGGTCTTGACGCGAAATATTTTCTCAATTTAGGGCATCGTGCACTGGATGATCCCTCCGTCGGTGAGCTTACGAACACAACTGTAATAAGTGTTGGAAAAATTCAAAGCATTCTAAGGGTACGTTCGAAATACAGGACTTGAGGAAGTTGCTTGTGCATCAGTGTTCATGAAGTTCGGTGTTCAGAGCCAACCTGCTTCATCATCCCCACGAACGTTGATGAAGGTTCTGGAAGAATACAAAAGAGATCGTGTTAAAGCGCGAAGAGTTTGTGACAACACCCTTCCTCCTCCACCACAGCGAAATCCGTACGCTTGCACAGTTCTATTTTGTAATGTTCCTTTTGAAAACTTGAATTTCTTGCTTCAGCAATCCGCAGCCGTCGTTTCACTCTCGCGAAGTTGTCCGTGCAAAACCTGTCAACAATAATGCGACCATGGTAAGTGTCAGTCTTTCTTGCCATCGGGTTTCATTTGTACCTTTCTCATTCATGTGTTCTAGGTAATTCATGGTAACTCTACCACAGTCGGCGAACTAACTACGGTAAAATTTCAGCCAAGTTCGAAATTCGTAACTGCTTATTATAACTCCCGTTACAGAGTCGAGCACCGGAAATTGCCGAGCCAACAGCTTCGGTTAAACCAATAACTTCACAAGCCTCCACAGCACAAGTTAGTTACACCAGTTAGACTTGGGCGTTAGTAAAATTGGAAGGGAAGGTCTTTGAAGGACTGCTCATTTAACGCAAGAATTGTCGTAGGGGAGACTGGGCTTTTGGATCAGCTCCCACCCTACCGAAAATCGTGAAGTCGACTAATAAAACTGGTCCTCTGGGCTCTTTCAAGCGCAGTCAGAAATGGTTCTTATATGTCAGCCTACAACGCATGATTCCACAATGCATGATTGCTAAGATCCCTATGCATAGATTAGCAGAAAAATGATTTTCAGGCGAACAATCGGTCTAGCGGATCGGCTCAGCCCAACAATGTCGTACGTTTTTTACTGGGTTCTCTTCTGACAATGTTTTTGTAAATGTAGTTTTACAGAGTCAACGACCCACGAGTGTTCAAGAAAGGGGATCGCGAGAAGAACAGGTAAGTGTTGGTCAAATTTTTCTCTACATTACCTCCTTACTTTTGCTAACTTCAAGCCAGATTTTATTTTTCCAAGAAGGGATTGATCTTGGTCTGGAACCGTCCGGGTACCTGGCCAAAATATCATGACAAGAGCATGGTTTGAAACTTCCCATGGAACTTTGAATGGAGACCTAGGTACATCGATAGAGAATGCTGATTACGAATATGCAGATTAAAAGTGCTACGGGGACCTCCCAGACGAGATCTGGGTGGTCAAAGTTTGAGTTCTGGCTCGTAAGCGCTGCTGATCGATGCCTCGGCAGTGCCACCGTGGCCTCGTGGTAATGGTCTCGCTTTCAAGTCAAACGCATGCGGGTTTGCATCCGGTTGGCGCGAAAATTTTTGCTTCGCTCCGTATAAGAGCTTCAACTCTAATTTTCGAAATTCTTCCGAATTTACGGCCCAGTAGATCAAGTACATCAAGTATACGACGTACTCGATCTAGTATGGATTTGGTCATATCTGCCCTCTCTGAACATATTACCCATCCGACAATTCAAAGTTTTGCCCAGAATCGCAATTTGGCCAGACGAGCGTTTTTTCGTCGAAGGATGTGATATTCGTGTTCAGGGGGTCGAAATCTCCCATGAACGAAATTTTTTGAAATGATTCTCGATAGCGACCTTGCTGAGAGAGTTTGCGAGTTCGCACCTTGGGTGCGACAAAACAGCAGCTATCGTAACAAAAGGGTGAAATGAAATGAAATGCAGAACATATAAGTAATATCATGATAATAGCCAGCAAGATTACAAGGGCCAAGCATGCCGTCTTGTTTCAGCGCCGCTAACGAAGCCGTGTGTTTCAAATGAGTGCGGTGTACTGTGTTCTCGCAATATGAGTGCTGATGTTGTTGCTAAGAGTACTATATTTCAAATAGACGGGCTGTGCGGTGTTGGGAAGGGCATTTCCACTTTCCACTAGTTCGCTGCTTGGTCTATGGTGCAAGTGAGCCATTTTGGTTACAAGAATCCACTGATATTCACAAAGTGACCTTTAGAGGCTTTGCTAAGTATCATCTGATGCCCCCATTAAGCCGAACAGCGTCTCATACACTTTGTATTGTTAACGATTTTACGGGTGTGTTCAGATCCGTGCTTATATATTCCTCAACTTGAAGTCGCTTTTGGTTTTGTGGCAATAGGAGATGCTGCTATATCGACTGTTGATGTAACAAATCGCACGGATCACTCATTACGGCTACGGGCAAAACTCAGCCATACGGGACCGCCATTTGCGGTAATTAGTACATTAGATCCTCTCCATTATGGTTTTTGCCTAATTTATCTTTTATAGTTGCTGGACAGCCAAATTCTGGTATTGGATGCGCGGCGATCAACGACACTTCGTATCGAATTCTCTCCAACTCAAAATGCACGATTTTCCACGAGTCTCTTAATTTCTGTTGAAGGAGGAGGTGGATCCCAAGTCAAATACAGGGTATTTTTTTCAATTTTCATTATTGCTGCAACAGTCGCGATGCTTATGAACTCTTGTTGAAGATGCCAGTTCGTGGACTTGGAGGAGCAGCTGTTGTAACCGTGAAAGCTAGAGACGATTTACGCATATCACGGAATGGTGCTTATATACTGCAGTCCTCGTACGAATCTACGTTCTCTTTTGCACTGACGAATTCAGGGAATCGGTGCGTTATTCCGTCCAGTCGATTTTCCTCTGTACACACATCCCCACCCATAAAGTAACGTACGGCAAGGATGGCCGTTCTACACTGCATTCTCAGGAACTCAAAGCTCGGGTCCGCATCTGTCCGGGCCATTCAGAATTCTTATCTCTCCGGCGTCGGTGAATCGGTACATTAATCTTGGGGATCTCGACTTGCTTGCTGACTGCCCGTTGGGACTTGTATAGCCACTTTTTTTTCCAAAGTGGTACTACGTTTCTGAATGAGAGTTGACTGCATGGCTCATCCTGAAGGAACTGATCAACGCCAAAATTTATTCCCTTGTCCTTCTTATCTGTGGAAGACAACATTATAGTACACTGCACTGTACAGTGTAGTTCGCTGCGGACGGTTGGGCGTGTCAGGCGGGATGAGTTGGCGCGGTGCCAAACCCGTTCTCCACCAGTTGTTAAAGCGAGCAAATGATATGACTGTATCATATCGTTCGTATTACTCGTTTTCTACCACTTTTTGTCGCATGCGCGCTTCAAGCAAGAAGGCAGAGAACGGCTTTGACGGTGACACACTCATACTGCCTGACACGCCCAACCGTCCGCAGCGAACTAAACACTCACCTCCGTGCATCTCGTTAATCGACTTGTGTGGGCACAGTGGGTCCGCATATGCAGTAGCCTTCCTTCCTCGCCGCTCAAAAATGCTCGTGAACCGGGCTAAAGGGTAGTGAACCCCGGTCTTCGTATCCCACCCGTGCTGCTGTTGGGCCGCACGCGTAACCACAGCTAAACGCGCTACTTGTCTGCGCTCTCATTTCGTTTATTCTCTACGACCGAGTACGTGTTTCCTGCGGGACTCTGTTGTTTACGCGTGCTATATCTCGAGACTAGCGCGGGGGAGTGTGGAGACCGTACCGAATACTTCAGTGCCTCACTGAGTGCGATATGGTCTGACTTGAGGGAAAGAGAAGCCGATGTGTAGCGTAGTGCCCTCCTCCTCCCAGAAGAACAACGCCTTAAACGTGGCCTGAAACCGCGTGAATACGTGTTAATGGGTTGTTTGAAAGAGCTTCTTCGATTCTTTGAGCTTTTTGGAATGAATCTGTGGGGGGGGGGCATTTTGTTAGTGTGCAAGTTAGAAACGTTTCGGAAATATTCATCGAAATAATATTTTGTTCCAGTCGAGCCTTCTCTCGTATAATTGTTCTGTATACTGGAGAAAACAACGTTCCTGAACATGTTCCTGTTGACATACGTCCAGCACCTGGATTGGTTATCGATCGTGGCGAATCTAAGGTAGATACCCTTGAGAAGTCTTTTCCTTCATAATCTCTTTCTTTTCCTTCATAATCTCTTTTTCATTCACGTGCAACTTTCTCTTCGGCTTGGTGGGGGCATCAAAAGGTTCTCAGCGAAGCTTGTACAGGCCACCTTGTGAAGAACTAAAGAATATAACAAAAGTGTGAAATGCCCCTCCTAAGCCGAACAGCGCCCTATCGCCTATAATGACGTGCAGGTTTAGGATTGAGAGAATTTTTGTTGCAATATATAACTTAAGGATCTTTTTTGCCTACAAATCAAGCGAAAACTGTGTTTTACAGCAAGTTTCTGTGCGTCTCCGTTCTCCACTCCCTTCACTGGAATGGCGTTCATCACAAAATTCTCTTGTATCTACAGCTTCGAGCACGGTACGTGTGATTTACCTACAGCTCTATTTTTCTATTGTGAGCGAGAAAAACAGCAAATTTGAAGTTCTGTGGGGAGGCTAAGAGCATTTGTTCCCCTGATTTTTCGGGATTTGTTCTATTGGAAACGGTTTTTCCAGCTTAAGTTTGCTCTTTATAGCAGCCGAGAGCAGCAAGCCAGTTGCAAGTGATTGTGTATTGGGGAGAAGAACGAACACGCCAGCGTCTGAGATGGTAAGTTGTGTAGGATTTCAAAGAGATTATTTAAGAAGAATTGTCCCATGTAGCTGTCGATGTTTCGGTTTATTTTTACTATTATTCTCTGCAGAATTTTGTAGACACATTCCGCGATACTCGGATGGGCGGAAACTCTTAGCGATCAGTGGTGCATCCATCCTCTCAAAGTTAAGGGAGGGGCGCGGCGATGAAGAAGCCTAATGATTCAACATCTCCACCCATCCGATTATCATGGAATGTGTCTGGCAAGTTTTATTTTCAGCTATGAGAAGATGACAGGTGCAACACATACATGTGAAGGCATACACTTCACTGACACGTTCGCTGGTGAAGATCCAGATTTTCATCCACCAGATGATCATCCGATATCAAAGGAAGACCTGCGGTTGTTCGATCAAACACTGAGAATGTGTACTATTTATGTGGGTTGTTTGCGTAGTTTATCAGCTGTTTGCACATCCATCTCCTCCAAAGGGCGATAAATCTAATGATAACAGAAATTTTGAAAATTTTCCGCCTCCACAAATTTGCTGTCATAAGGGGGGGGGGCATTATGTAGTGTGTGGTGCGTTACACCTTCCCCTTGCAAAAATTCTGGTCTATTCAACATTGGGGGCACGCCTGGCATCTCCGTTTTATCTGTGATTGGCAAAAACTATCTCAAACAATGTCTTCGAGAGATATCTCGTTACTGTTGTCTTCGACTCTGTTGAAGACAAACTGTACACTCACCTCCGTGGATCCTGGTCCTTGCCGTGTGTAGAGAGAACAACTAGACTGAGAAGGGGCAAGAGCGTGTCACTTCCTCCAGACTTACTTGCACGGTAATGGACTGGGGGGGGGGTAGTGTACCTAAGTGCAAATACTCCACCAGCACTGCCGCACGGTCAGCTACACGCCCAAACGCAGTACTTGTCTGCGCTTTCTCACTAGCACGGGCGATAGTAAGAAAGCACACAGGTACGTACCTACCCGTTCTGGCGCGCTTCTGACCGAAGAAAGTTTCGTGATACTGCAGGTGCCTCGCAGATGCAGGAACTGTTCCCGGAGAGTGTACAGTTTGTACTTGATCTTTACTTTATGCACTGGTGCCTTGCGACTTATTGTAAATGGTTGGCTGATAGCACTAGTATATCCTTGATATGGAGAGGGCGTTGCTGCTTACTTCACCCGAACATGGCGCACGGTGCACTTTTTGTAACCCTTCCTCCAGTCTTGTGCTGGAGAGCTCATGAAATTCCTTGTTGTCCTAAAGCGGCAAAGCCTTTTAAAAACGCAGGCCGCCGCCTCATGCGAATGAAAATGCAGCCACTCCGTCAGGATGTGCGTCGACAGGTGGAACTTCGCAGTCTAGTGAGCTGCCGGTACAGTAAGCAGTCTATTCTAAAAGCCTCCTTCCCCTCCCCAAGCTTGGGAGACCCTGGAAAGGCGCACTACACACCAAGCAGGTAAGTCGGTACGGTGAAACGCATGTCACACTGGCAACGCCGGGGGCAGCAATGATATGACCATCAAAAGGGCCTAAAACTCGAAAAAACTCAGTCGCGGGATACGGTGGCAGCTAAATCTTTCTTATTATATATGAAATATAAGAACCCACATTTATTTGCAGGTATGCTCTCCAAGAATACGGCCGAGACCATCTTTGCTCTCGAACTCGTCGTCGCTTGAAAGAAGCCTGCAGCCTGATGATACGTTCCGCGAGAAGTCTACCTATAGAGTTGTGATTCCTGATCAGACACTGCGTTGATTATTACTTTCGATTAATGATAGAGGAAGTCATTCATTTATGATCATTTCAGAAACTGTAAAATTATAAATGCCATATTCTCATTTCTGTAACGATAACTGGGTTACTTGTGCTACTAACTTCAACGATGTGATAAGTTAATCTGTCAATAAATAGTTATCAGTGTAAATGTCTAGCACGAATTCGGTCAAAGAAACCGTCTTATCAAACAATTTCCAGGGGATGCGCTGCTTCCCAAGTCGCAAGGGATCTTTGAAGGCAGACCCCGCGCTCAACCATTTTGTAGGATTACTTCCTTGCCCAAATAGTCCGGTGCTTAATCGCAAAGATTCGTCCCACTACCGCGGCAGGGTACAGCATCGCTGTGCGAAACAAATGGGAGGGGGGGAGTCATAATTGACCGCTGGGTAAGGGGGTGGTCGTAATTAGTCGTTGTTTGGAAGAGGGATCCTACGTTTCTTGAGAGAAATTTGCCACGTTTGCCTGCCACCATCCCCCTAGTTGGTGGCGCAGCCAAAGTTCTATATAGCTATTATTTTCGATAGCTCGAAAATAGTAGTTGGTTCAGTTTCTGACGACCTCCCTCGTCGCCCCCCCCCCTCTCCCACGGAAAATTGGGGAGAAAGTAGCAAATTCTCGGGTAATTTCGGAAAAAGTGGTAGAAAGCTGAGAACATGTAGGAAAGTGGTAGGTAGGTGTGGAAGGGATGGTACGTACCGAGACCCTCTTTAAGGTAGGAGGAGGGCTCGTACTGACACCACCATTTCAAACATCACGATGACGTACCCCCTGGATTGAGGTAGGTGTTGCGGACCAGTGACCAAGGCTCAATAGCTGCTTGTGTTTACCCAGACCAGACTTAACTGCGCCCTCAACTTCTGATGAATGTCATGCACAATTTGGGTAGGGACAGCGGTACAGAGAAGTTCAGTGCAATGGACGTTGGAAGAGCAAGAAATCGGTCTCTCAATTATAGGGTCCAGATGTGTGATTGGATACTCCCAACGATGGGGAGGATGTGGCTTCACACTCCACCCGAAGGTGGAGACAGCTGGGCGTTTGCTAGAATAATGGGACAAGCGTAATCATACTTCTCCAGCACACTGCAGACATACGTTGCGCCAAACAAAATTTCCAGAAAAACCGCGCTTCGGCATGTCCGAACGGTAATACAGCCCGCCCTCTCAATCTTCTGGTAGTGTTCGTTTTGAGTTCTCATGCCATAAGCGCGTGAAGCATTTGGAAACCCGTGGCTAAATGGCGAAACATGGGACATTGTTCAGGTAGTGTTGTCTGTCTGCCGTCTCTGAAGGGGATTACGACTCATATACCGAAGTGGACTCCACTTCAACTGGAATGAGACTGGCTTGCAACTCTACTGCTTTAAGGCAATGGCGTGTGCCTGCCAACTATGAGGTGAAGCGAGTACTTCTGTCCGACCCAGTAGTACCGCGAAAAGCGCTACAACAGAACATCTTAGTCGCATTTTCGGTCGTCGCATCGCTCTATGGGACGCTACACGGGCTATTCACAGAACATGGTTCAGGAACAGCCAAAATGGTCTCTCAGGTGAAAGAAAGAGTCCCTGGAGTTAGCTCGGAAAATAAGCCTCTCTAATGGCTACCCCCCAGAAGGCAAATACCCCCCTAGACCACCCACTAGGAGTCAACAAAGTCCTGTGACCGAGGATTGGGAGAAAGTACCATTTTGCTTACCCTTCGTGAGTGATGCAATCAGCGCTGCTGTGAGATTGTCTTTGCGCAGGTGTGGTCTCGACAACATGGTTCGGTTGGTCGAGATCCCTCCTGCGAGCCTCAAGCAGCAGCTGATCCGCAACCGCGGGTATGATCGCTACTGCCCGACCCCACATTGTGTGACATGTCCTTCTGGGCGGGAGGGGGACTGCAATGAATCAGGTATGCATCTACCTATACCATGCCAAGAGTTTGGGATGAGTAAACACCGGAGACTCGGACGACCCTGTGCCGCAGTGACGAACACCTCGATAGTCCTGAGGCGATTAAACAAGAGTCTCCCTGGGTAAGTTAAGTCATCGGGTTCGCGCATGGAGCGCGGAGTTTTTTGAGGTGACGGCTTAGATAGCATAGAAGGAGTGCGAGAACCACAGACTTCGGCGCGCAAAACTTTGGAAGCTTTTCGATTAGCGCTAAAAATCCCAGAATGAATAGAAAGGACGAAAGCCTGACCATCACACGAGCTCGCCACCGTTGCTGACTCTTGTGGGCTTCATGGCCATCGGCATCAAGTAGGGCGGTCAGGTCAGCTGAACCAGCGACGGGGAGTCTATTTAGCGGTGGTCTCAAACAAGAACCGGTCGTGCATTAAAGGTGAGTCGTTTGTGGTTGTGTTCTATGACTTTCTGGATCCTACTGGTCTGGGATTTCCAGGCTCTGACGAAGGCGATAAGGCGCCGAAACGTTAGCCAATAAAACTTTTATACCATCTTGGTTACGGCTAAAGCAATACCCTATAGGAATTCAAAGTATGCCAAGATTCATCGAGAGTCGAACCTGGACACTTATTGAGTGAGCGTTTTTCTATAAAGCATAACGATAGAAATTCGAGAGGGTTTGCAAACAGATAATATATCATGTTGGCTGGTTCCACTCGAGGTCGAGAACTGCACGAGATTCTACTTCTACTTATATTCTATTACAGTCTTGTTCGCTGTAGATGAAGAGTTGGGCGGGATGAATTCAGCGCAGTGCCAAATCCGTTCTCCACCAGTTATTAAAGCGAGCATGCGACAAGACCGTATCATGAGTCGATCACTCGTTCTACGATGTCCGCATACGCTTCTACACTGCTAGGGGTCGGACAGCCGTGACCCACTCACTGCCTGACACCGTCATCCGTCACGAATAGAGTACAGATGAATGCATCCGACAACTGTAGAATTCTCACTCAATCAAATGTACCCTGATACTCCAGCTCTCCGTTCTGGTCCAGCGGTTACTAGAAGCTGCTGGGTCTCAGATTATTTCTTGTACACCTATTTATATGGAAATCGCTGCCGGATGCCTTGCGCAACCTACCAAGTCATTCTACAGACCGAATACACGAGCGCGCGACCTCGGATTCGGTGGAAAGCGAGTTTGTGGTCCAACTTGAGTTGATTGTAAACTCTTATCCTCCCTCTATAAACTGTATCGGTAAGTAGTGATGCATGCGTTCGAACAGTCTGTCTAATGTGGGGGTTGCCGTAAGGGTCTCTAGCCAGCCTCCACACTTCGAGGGGACCGTGCGCCGACCAAGACCCGTCTCAGAACACGCCTCATCACAATCCGCAGAGAGCAAAAACTGCCGTGTAAGTTCCAGGTGGTTCCAAATAACGATAACAACTGTCTTCGATTTCTATCGATATTTTACTACAGGGAACTACTTGGATGTCTGTGAAATGGTGAAAGGTCTACTGAGAACCTACAGCAGGTGCTACACAGAACGCTCAGAGGGAGGAGTAATCGTGGTAGTGTTGACGATCCAAAGATGTGGGGGTCATTAAGAAAAAACGTCGAAATTGAGGGCAGATGAACACGCTTCTGGAGTAGTAAGAACAAGGCGAAGTCTAACAGCGAAATTCATGGCACAGGACTCAACGCAGTTGGAAGCTGAAGAAGCCCATCCATCGTCTTCGCATAGTCGTTTTACTTAAGAGTGCATGTGGAAAAAACCCATTGACTTACATGGAAGCGATAGTCGCCCACTGTAGCAAAGTTGAGAACGCAGCCTGGAATGGGACAGGGCGTAATTGATCCGAGTATCACCACGGCACGTGAACTCCTCAGAACTTGGGATATTTCAGTAGAAATTCTCAGCCTGGGTGTTTCTTAGAGCTAATCTCTTCCCATTACCGGTTGGTTCCGAGTACTCCTTATCAAATTACCTAAGCCACCCATCCAATAAAACTGATAGGCTTTCTGGACGATGCTGTCTTTCCATGGTGGTGTTGTTTCTGCATCTCCTCTATCACGTTGATATTCTCTGAGAAGCAGAAATTGGATGGCATGGATTGGTTGAGGCAATGAGTACCTAGGACAACTCAATTGAAGTGGCATAGAAGCAATTGCAGTGTCCAATTCCCATTGCCGAAGCCAGAGAAAAGGCTATAAACCTAGTCGTACATCAGAGAATGAACCAGTCGATTGCAGTCATGGGAAGATAGAACGTTAAGCGCAACTATCACCCTTTTGGCTCGCTCCATGGCATTCCTCCACACCGAATGTTGTTACACTGAGCGGAACCTAACGATACAATCACCAATACAACCTATTGAAGGAGGATAAAACACTGTAATTGGAACAACCATTTACTGTACAATAACAGTGTTTTTTACTTCCAACAAGTAATGGCAACCAACTAGCCTATTCTGGGGATGCATAGCTTCAGCTAGCGTATTACGTAGGAAGATCTGAGCCCTCGAGCGTTTGCATCCTCAAGTCACGACGTCCATTTGGCAACTTATCTGGGATTGAGTCACACAACGAACAAGGTGCCACAATAGGAGTTTAAGTATGATGGCGGTATCATACGACCCTTCTTCCTCCTCCCAAACGTTCTCCTCCTAGTGCGGGTCTGTTCTCGACAAATCTCCTACCACCGTCCCGAAATTTCCCGGCTTCCCACAAATCTGCAAGAGTTTGTGCATTTGTGTTGATGAAGAGAATAGTAGGGATCATAGCCCGTTTTCCGTGTTCGGTGGCAAGTTATCTCTGAAGCCTCGTTTCTCCAGGAGCCAAACAGAGGTTTGGATGATACTCCTTATTGACGCCCGAACCTTTGTATGCCGCCTGCTTTCGAATTCCTGAATACACACCTTCTCATGTGTAAGGCTGCGTTTATACTTTGCGGCAGCGTAGCGTAGCGTAGCGTAGCGTAGCGCAGCGTAGCGTAGCGCTTCCAGCGTACGCCAGCGGCAGTGCCGAAGAGAGGATGCATATCGATCTAGCTTCACCAGCGTCACCAGCGGCACGCTGGCGTAC